ACAATTGTAAATATCTATGCCCCTAACATGGGAGCAGCCAATTATATAAGGCAATTAATAACAAAAGCAAAGAAACACATCGACAACAATACAATAATAGTGGGGGACTTTAACACCCCTCTCACTGAAATGGACAGTCGTCTAAGCAAAAGATCAACAAGGAAATAAAGACTTTAAATGACACACTGGACCAAATGGCCTTCACAGACCTATTCAGAACATTCCACCCCAAAGCAACGGAATACACATTCTTCTCTAGTGCCCATGGAACATTCTCCAGAATAGATCACATCCTAGGTCATAAATCAGGTCTCAACTAGTACCAAAAGATTGGGATCATTCCCTGCCTATTTTCAGACCACAATGCTTTGAAACTAGAACTCAATCACAAGAGGAAAGTCGGAAAGAACTCAAATACATGGAGGCTAAAGAGCATCCTACTAAAGAATGAATGGGTCAACCAGGAAATTAAAGAAGAATTTAAAAACTTCATGGAAACCAATGAAAATGAAAACACAACTATTCAAAATCTTTGGGATGCAGCAAAGGCAGTCCTGAGAGGAAAGTATATAGCAATACAAGCCTTTCTCAAGAAACAAGAAAGGTCTCAAGTACACAACCTAACCCTACACCTAAAGGAGCTGGAGAAAGAACAGCAAATAAAGCCTAACCCAGCAGGAGAAGATAAATAATAAAGATCAGAGCAGAAATCAATGAAATAGAAACTAAAAGAACAGTAGAACAGATCAACGAAACTAGGAGGTGGTTCTTTGAAAGAATTAACAAGATTGATAAACCCCTGGCCAGACTTATCAAAAAGAAGAGAGAAATGACCCAAATCAACAAAATCATGAATGAAAGAGGAGAGATCACAACCAACACCAAAGAAATACAAACAATTATAAGAATGTATTATGAGCAACCCTATGCCAGCAAATTAGATAACCTGGAAGAAATGGATGCATTCCTAGAGATGTATCAACTACCAAAGCTGAACCAGGAAGAAATAGAAAACCTGAACAGACTATAACCACTAAGGAAATGGAAGCAGTCATCAAAAATCTCCCAAAAAACAAAAGCCCAGGGCCAGATGGCTTCCCAGGGGAATTCTACCAAAAATTTCAAGAAGAATTAATACCTATTTCTGAAACTGTTCCAAAAAATAGAAATGGAAGGAAAACTTCCAAACTAATTTTATGAGGCCAGCATTACCTTGATCCCAAAACCAGACAAAGACCCCATCAAAAAGGAGAACTACATACCAATATCCCTGATGAACATGGATGCAAAAATTCTCACCAAAATACTAGCCAATAGGATCCAACAGTACATTAAAAGGATTATTCACCACGACCAAGTGGGATTTATTCCTGGGCTACAAGGTTGGTTCAACATCCGCAAATCAATCACCGTGACACAATACATTAACAAAAGAAGGAACAAGAATCATATGATCCTCTCAATAGATGCAGGAAAAGCATTTGACAAAGTACAGCATCCTTTCTTGATCAAAACTCTTCAGAGTATAGGCATAGAGGGTACATACCTCAATATCATAAAAGCCATCTATGAAAAACCTACAACGGATATCATTCTCAATGGGGAAAAGCTGAGAGCTTTCCCCCTAAGGTCAGGAACGCGGCAGGGATGTCCACTATCACCACTGCTATTCAACATAGTATTAGAAGTCCTAGCCACAGCAATCAGACAACAAAAAGAAATCAAAGGCATCCAAATTGGCAAAGAAGAAGTCAAACTCTCACTCTTTGCAGATGTTATGATACTTTATGTGGAAAACCCCAAAGACTCCACCCCAAAACTGCTAGAACTCATACAGGAATTCAGTCAAGTGGCAGGATATAGAATCAATGCACAGAAATCAGGGGCATTCCTATACACCAACAACAAGACAGAAGAAAGAGAAATGAAGGAGTCGATCCCATTTACAATTGCACCCAAAACCATAAGATACCTAGGAATAAATCTAACCAAAGAGACAAAGGATCTGTACTCAGAAAACTATAAAATACTCATGAAAGAAATTGAGGAAGACACAAAGAAATGGAAAAACGTTCCATGCTCATGGATTGGAAGAACAAATATTGTGAAGTTGTCAATGCTACCTAGAGCAATCTACACATTCAATGCAATCCCCATCAAAATACCATCCACTTTTTTCAAAGAAATGGAACAAATCATCCTAAAATTTGTATGGAACCAGAAAAGACCCCGCATAGCCAGAGGAATGTTGAAAAAGAAAAGCAAAGCTGGTGGCATCACAATTCCGGACTTCCAGCTCTATTACAAAGCTGTCATCATCAAGACAGTATGATACTGGCACAAAAACAGACACATAGATCAATGGAACAGAATAGAGAGCCCAGAAATGGACCCTCAACTCTATGGTCAACTCATCTTTGACAAAGCAGGAAAGAATGTCCAATGGAACAAAGACAGTCTCTTCAACAAATGGTGTTGGGAAAATTGGACAGCCACATGCAGAAGAATAAAACTGGACCATTTCCTTACACCACACACAAAAATAGACTCCAAATGGTTGAAAGACCTCAATGTGAGACAGGAGTCCATCAAAATCCTAAAGGAGAACACAGGCAGCAACCTCTTCGACCTCAGCTGAAGCAACTTCTTCCTAGAAACATCGCCAAAGGCAAGGGAAGCAAGGGCAAAAATGAACTATTGGGACTTCATCAAGATAAAAAGCTTTTGCACAGCAAAGGAAACAGTCCACAAAACCAAAAGACAACCAACAGAATGGGAGAAGATATTTGTAAATGACATATCAGATAAAGGGCTAGTATCCAAAATCTATAAAGAACTTATCAAACTCAACACCCAAAGAACAAAGAATCCAATCAAGAAATGGGCAGAAGACATGAACAGACATTTTTCCAAAGAAGACATCCAAATGGCCAACAGACACATGAAAAAGTGCTCAATATCGCTCAGCATCAGGGAAATCCAAATCAAAACCTCAATGAGATATCACCTCACACCAGTCAGAATGGCTAAAATTAACAAGTCAGGAAACGACAGATGTTGGCGGGGATGCGGAGAAAGGGGAACCCTCCTCCACTGTTGGTGGGAATGCAAGCTGGTGCAGCCACTCTGGAAAACGGTATGGAGGTTCCTCAAAAAGTTGAAAATAGAGCTACCATACAACCAAGCATTTGCACTACTGGGTATTTACCCCAAAGATACAAAAGTAGGGATCTGAAAGGGTACGTGCACCCCGATGTTTATAGCAGCAATGTCCACAATAGCCAAACTGTGGAAAGAGCCAAGATGTCCATCGACAGATGAATAGATAAAGAAGAGGTGGTATATATATACAGTGGAATATTATGCAGCCATCAAAAGGAATGAGATCTTGCCATTTGCAATGACGTGGATGGAACTGGAGGGTATTATGCTGAGCGAAATAAGTCAAACAGATAAAGACATGTATCATATGACCTCACTGATATGAGGAATTCTTAATCTCAGGAAACAAACTGAGGGTTGCTGGAGTGGTGGGGGTGGGAGGGATGGGGGTGCTTGGTGATAGACACTGGAGAGGTTATGTGCTCTGGTATGTGCTGTGAATTGAGCAAGACTGTTGAATCTCAGATCTGTACCTCTGAAACAAATAATGCAATCTGTGTTAAGGAAAAAAAAAGAAGATAGCAGGAGGGGAAGAATGAAGGGGGGAAATCGGAGGGGTAGACAAACATGAGAGACAATGGACTCTTAGAAACAAACTGAGGGTTCTAGAGGGGAGGGGGGTGGGAGGATGGGTTAGCCTGGTGATGGGTATTGAGGAGGGCACGTTCTGCATGGAGCACTGGGTGTTATGCACAAACATTGAATCATGGAACACGTCATCTAAAACTAATGATGTAATGTATGGGGATTAACATAACAATAAAAAAATTAAAAAAAAAAACAAGCAAATAAACCAAGTGTATGAAGGAGATTGACTTCAGTTGTGTGCTGGAGAAGGACACCCAGTAGTGCCTAGGGTTTGGTGTTTTTACCTGCTGCAAGTAAAAGTTCTGCTTTTTGTTTCTGTGCAAATGCAAACTACTCATCATCAAGAACATATTCTTATTTAGTTAAAGACGTATTTTAACAGAATGTCAAGACTGTCCTCGACTGTGGTTATTCACACAGTTCCTTAAGCACAATCACTGAAGAGCAGCTCTGGGAGTTTATAACACCTAAAGAGAATGACCCACTCTCCTTGGCCACATGATGCAGCAGGCTGGATCTTCAGGGAAGCTGACTCGGAGTATTAGTAGTAGTATTACTAGGGAAGGTGTTAACTAAGCAGAGGACAAGGGGGGAGGGAAGCAGGAGTGGAGAGAGCAGAAGTCCCACCTGGGGCAAGCCCAGGACAGCCCCACTGACCCCAGCGTTGGCTGCAGCCAGACGTCCCGGTACCTGCACCCAGGAAAGCAGCACCTGCAGATGCACTGAGCCCCGAGGGGCTGAGAGCAGGACATGGAACCTGGCAGCCAGGACAAGGAGTCCTTCCCTGTGGGGCCCTGGCAGCACGCCCATGTCTGCCAAACCCGCTGCACCTGGCTTCATGCTCTGACTGGCCAATGGGACACCTTTACGATGCTGGAGTGTTACTGATCCTCTCCTATCTTTTTATTTGTTAATTCAGCCCATATTCCTTAAGCACCTGCTATGTGCTAGGGACTGGGTGAGGCCCAGCTACCCATGAAGCAGACTTTATTCAGTGGCCCTGTTACCACCACTGTCTTACTGAGCAGAGGCTGCCGGAACAAAGCCCCAGAGACCAGAGGGCCTAAACCACACACGTCTGGTTCCCACAGTTTGGCGAGGTTGGAAGTCTGAGATGAGGTGCAGGCAGATCCGGCATCTGGTGAGCACCGTGTCCTGGGTTATAGATGGTGTCTTCTCCCTCCATCCCCACGTGGTGGGGAGACACAGAAAGGAAGCAAGTTCGCTCCTCTCCTGTCTCTTCTTCTTTTTTAAATATGGAACATCTTGCAAATTTGAGGATCATCCTTATGGAGGGGCCATGCTAATCTTCTCTGTTGCCTTCTGATTTTAGCATATGTGCTGCGGAAGCGAGCACTCTCCTGTCCCTTCCTATAAGGGCACGAATCCCATCATGGGGGCTCCACCTTCATGACCTCGTCACTTCCCCAAGACCCATCTCCTGACACCATCACCTTGGGGGATTAGATTTTCAACATACAGATCTAGGGGAGACAGACTCACCCTACCCACACCCAAAGAAACACAACTGCTTCATGCCTAAACTATCCCAACGTCATGGTTAATATTAGAGCATATGCAAGATTAAAATATCTAGTTGTAAAATTATGAAGCAAATAAGAGTTAGGAGAAGAAGTGGCGGGGGGGAATGGGAAGGAGGAAACCATCGCTTATTTGAACTTGTTTTTGGGGGAAGATGGAGAATAAGGTAGGTGGAACACACTGGACTTTGGTCCAAATTTTGTCTTTTCTACACATAAGCAATGAGACCTAAACTTTTCTTAACTTTAGTTTTTGATCATGAACTGAATACCAACTTTACACGACTTTTGGGGAAGAGTTAAATAAGATATGTTCAGAGCAGGGGACCTGGCCCTGAGCGGTCACACGGCCCAGGGTGCCCACATGACCCTCATTAGCACCATCACCAGCCTCGTCACTGCTCCTTCCCGACAGTACCAGGCACTTGGAGGGCTCACATAACTCCAAGGACGTATTCATTTGCCACATCCTAGAACACAGAGCCTATGGAATGGATTTAATATTACTCATTGAGTATCAAAGAACCACGTTCTGCACAGTAAAAGACTCTTTCCGATTCCAGTGTGACCTGAAATACACAGAAGATGATTGAGGTGTAAACCATGTCCCTCCACTGAATCGTGGGCAGAAACTACATGCCCCTCAAAGAGGGGTATCTGGGGGCTCAGTCGGTGAAGCATCTGACTCTTGATTTTAGCTCAGGTCATGGTCTCAGGGTTGTGAGATCGAGCCCTGTGTCAGGCTCCATGCTCAGCAGGGAGTCTGCTTGAGATTGTCTCTCTCCCTGTCATTTGCCCCTCCCCACCCCATTCTCCTTAAAATAAAAAAATAATAAAAAAAAGGAGGGCACCCAGTACGGAAACACGGGGCCAAAATCGGATAGAGTCAAGAAGTCCTCCTCACTAATAATCACCTATCTGTGTGGATTTCACAAAGCGTATTGGAAGGCAATAACCCCTTTGAAACAGGTTGAGAGAAACACTTGCTTCAAATCCCAACTTTGAGAAACTGTAGATGCTCGGAAGTTTCTGCCCATTGCAGTAAGTGCCTTGGAATCCAGAAGCGGTCATGGAGCCGCAGAGCCAGCGGAAACTCGAGGATGAAGGTATGGCCGTCCCCCTTCCTCACGCTCTTCGAGGGTGTTAACGCAGGGAGGCTGAACCGGGAGGGGTTCTAGTACCTGACCCTGCCTGTCACAAGAGGTATGTGTGTGCGTGCGTGCGTGTGCAAGAATGTAGCTGGACTTGTTACTCTGAATTCCGCTGCATATCATTCTTTCCACAGCAGAGTTTCCGTCCCTCTCAATGCATAAATCTCTTATCTTCATAAGTACCTAAGTTTTAAAACTACGACTCCAGGAGTGTTACAGTGTGACGTCTGAGCATTGACCACTGTGGCCCCTGGTGTGTCGACACTCACAGTGAAAAGTCAGGAAGGAAATTTCCCGAGTGCCCACTACAGAGAATGCATACTTCACCGCTCTCTGGCCTTGTTTTTGACACATTTTAAAACACTGTGCTCCATCTGTGGTCACAACCACCAGCAGGCAAGCCTGCCTCACCACCCACCCTCCAGATGCATCATGGTAGGTGGGTACAGATTATCAGGCTCAAGGTGACACAGCCATGGCCAAGCTGGGACACCTCCCATGGCTGCCTGGCTTAAAGGCGACACCAGATTCTTCCTACTTCTTCACCTGTTTCCCCCTATGAAAACTTTTGAAGAGCACACGCTGATAAATCATGCCGTTTTTCTCTTTGCATGACCCACGGATGCTGCTGAACGTCACGTCTCTTGCCCCTCGCTGCCAACCAAAGGCTCCCGAAATGAGGGACCCCACGGACCAGTGCAGCCGAGTCCTGGGCTGCAGATGGCAGGGCTCTGTGATCCGTATGATGCAGGATATTCCATTCTCAAATACCGAGTGCACACCGACTGTTCCCCAAACTGCCTTCCAATTTGGTGTCTGAGAAAAGAAACAGTTAATAAAACAACAAAGGACTTGCAAGAACACCTAGGAGAATTACACTGTTAAAAGAACAAATTGGTACTCCAAAGAATATAACAGTTTTATACCCCAACTCTGGCAATCGAAGCAAACGTTAATAATGTGAAGAAATTAGGTGTGAGCGTGACATTTTGGTGTCAGGATGCTCAGCATGAACCAGCCTTTCAAAGGGACATAAATCCTTATCCAGATTTCTTCAAATATCATCTCTGCCAGGGAAGTAGCATGTTAGAACTTTAGAGTGAAATTTCCATTACAAAAGTCCGGGTTTCACTCCTGTTCAAATCAAAGTCTTAGAAGACAGTGAGGCTTCTTAAACATTTCAATCATGTCCAATCGTTTCCTGAATTGTCCTCTTTTCAGTACATCCATTTTTTTCTCTAATTATATTGATTTTAGCAAATTGCAGTGTCCATCTGAACTGATTTTCAAATATGAAAAACCTTCAGTGAAAGGGAAAAACAAATGCATCGTGCTCCAGCAAGACAAGACGCATGATTCCCCCACACTCCCCCAAACTTCCTCCAGGAGAGAAGCAGGCCTTATGAGGAAAGTGAAAAGCACCTGGTGAAATGATGGAATTCTGGAAAATTAGCAACCATTTCGGGCGCCACTCTACCCCTCGGGTGTTCTTTATTCTCCTTGCCTGACAACCAGATAAAGATCAAGGGTGGGAGCCGAATTTGCAATTTCAAGTTTATGTCTCAGAGGGGGATCGGGAGACAACTCAAAACCTAAGTGATGTTTTAAAATCAAATACAGAGTACTTTCATCAGCTGTCGAGAAGAACAGCCTATGCCCTTGATGGAAAATACCCACTTTCCTTTTTAAAAACAGGAGACATTGGGGCATCTGGGTGGCTCAGACGGTTAACCAACTGCCTTCAGCTCAGGTCATGTTTGCAGGGTCCTGGGATCGAGCCCCACATCACGCTCCTTGCTCAGCTCTCTCTCTCCCTCTCTATGTGTCAAATAAATAAATAAATAATCTTAAAAAAAAAAAAAGCAGAAGACATTTCTGTACATGCTTCACAGCCTCCGTCCAAGAGACCAACCACTCCCAGCACTTAACTGTCCCCCCTGTGCGCCTTTTCCACAGTCAGACGGGCAGTGTGCTGTGGGCACCTGCTCGTTCACGCGTGTCTGCGTTCATTTATTTATTTTAAAATATTTACCAAATATGTCTTGAGCCCCAAATCTTTGCTGGGTACTGCGCTAGAAACCCAATGATATAGGGAAGAGAATAAATATAGTCCCAAATCCTCTTGGAGTTCACTTCCTCCTGAAAAGGACTTTTGAATTGACCTGCCCAGAGATACACACTTTCCCTCACTGACCCGTCCCGTTTACACCTGCGATGCCCCCATTGTCTCAGCCACATCGATGGGAGGTTTGAATGGACATGGACCTCCTCTCTCTCCGTGTCCCAGCAATTGTAACGGCCAGTCCCAGAACACCTTCTGGCCCCCAGCTGCCTTCCACAAATTTAATGCAGAGGCTCCCTGTCTGGTTCCCACTTCTTATTTTCCTCCACTGCCTTGATGTCAGATTAAGGATTTTAAAATGAAGAAATAACTCACAGCTTGGGTGGTAAACTCCCCCTATCTCTCCCATTGATTACCACTTGCACAAAATCCCAGGTAACCTCCTGACTCCTCTCTCCCCCATTGAGTGAAAGGGAGAGGGAGGACAAAGACCTTTTCTTTCTTGGCTGGGGAGGGAGGACCAAGAAGACCCCAGCATTGCTCTAAGTTAGTCTTCTTTGTCCTGCTCAGAACAGCCCAACGCAGCCCTCGACCTAGCCGATGGTTCTACCTCCACCTAGCAGCTCACCTGCTTCTCTGTTTTAAAGTCTGTTTTTAAAAGGTTTTACCTTTGGGGGCACCTGGCTGGCTCAGTTGGTGGAGCATGTGACTCTTGATCTCGAGATTGTGAGTTCAAGCTCCAACATATGGTGTAGAGTTTACTTAAAATACAAAAAAAAAAAAAAAGTTTTTCAAGGTTTCACCTTTTTCTAAGGTGGTCCAATATGACACCACAGGATAGAGATATTTTTAGTTTTAAGTAACATACAGCCCTTAACAATGGACTCTCATGCAGGCTTTTCCAGACTCTTGCATTTTCTGGAATATGGCACCCACCACGCACACGTGTGTGTGTGTGTGTGTGTGTCCGAGTGCGCATGCACACATATTCACTCACATGCCTTGTTTCCCATATGCTTTCTTTGGCAAGTCTTCCCCCAATCCTGAAACAATCCCACAATAGCGTTCTGTAGTGTCAGGCTGGGAAGCATCTACTGATGTTTGCAAGACCTTCCCAGTGACCTCTCCCACTTCAGGAGCTCAGCATGCAGGTGAGCTGATGCTCACAGATGGAGCAGGACCACAGCCTTGGACCTAGTCTGGGAAGGTCTGTCCTGCTTTTTTCTCCCACCTACAGGGAGCCCAATGACATCATCCCCCTTCTCAGGGGACCCCTCTGTTAACACACTGGACTTTATCTTCTTGCAGACATGGGAAGATTGCCCCAGCAACCCTGCCCTTCCATCAACTCCTGTCTGACATTGACTTTTCCACTCTCCAGATTATTTGCATTGGACTACAATATGCTGTTTTCTCCCATCCTAAAAAGTAGACAAAACAAAACCCATAACCTTTCCCCTCCAACTAAAGCTCCTTTTTTCTGTTCTCCTTCACAGTAGAAAAGGTTGTCTGAAAATAGTCATCTCTTCTCTCTTTTCTTTGAAAGATTTTATGTATTTATTTGAGAGCGAGAACAAGAGCATAAGCAGGGGGAGGCTTAGAG